CAAAGCCAGCACTGAGAAAATGGCAACTTTGTGTGGTGGGGGCATAGCATGTCAAGAGGAATGGTGGCCAATCCAATGCCTGGAGGCCAGCAGGGGCTTTAAGGGCCCAAGAAGGTGAGTGGATGATGGATTCTGCAGCCAATCAGCACAGACTAGGGCACTCTGTGACCATTCCAGGAGGGCTCCACGAGAATACAACTTGTCCTGACAAGGAAAACAAAGGCCTTATTCATCCTGGAAGGTGAATGAAGCCCTGGAGCATGATGGGTGGAAGGGTGAACACCCTTGAGTATTTGGTGTTTATTCTACCAAAGACAGAAACTGTAGGGTAACATATCATATTTGATCAGTTGAAAATGTCTATCACATTTCAGGTAGATTTACTGGCCTGTTGTACAAGGCCTGTGTATATAATATGAAAAACCTGCTCTGAAACTTTTAAAACTTTTGCCACATCTGGACATTCTAAATGTAAACATTTGATAACATATAATAGAGTTACAAAATAATGTCTTGTAAATGGCCATTTGTTTTAAAAAATCAGAAATATCTTCTGGAAGTGACCTTGAAATGAAGATGTTAGACCATATCTAGGGGTGGCACTTGTCCACATCTTTTGAGTAGATTAGAAGACATGAAGAAGACTTGGACCACAAGAAGAAATTGTCCTGTGCCAGACTGGCTATATGTAAAAGAAATTCTTCATATTGTAACCATTGTTTTGTATGCATATTTTATTCCTCATTACTATATATACAGTTGACAATGCTAAATACCTTTTTAGAAATATCTAGACTTTCTAGATGTTCTAAAGTTCTTAATATATGTCAAAAGTAGAAGTGGTAATATATAACACATGTGTAATTTTTTTAAAAATTCATATAAATTTTTTTTGTAGGGGAGTGGGGAAATAGCCAAAACCCCTGTTGAGTAATACATATTGTATGCTGATTCTCTGGAGCACCATGCCAGTGTGCTTACAATGAGGCAAGAGTAACCACTGTTCCTGTGTCTATGGGTTTTGTTTTATTGTGCTGTGTACTTAGTGTATATAAAGGATCAACAAGTCCTAATGTACATCTAGCTTTTCTAGATGTCAAAGAGGTTGCCAGTGTATGACAAAAGTATAATTAGTAAACCACTTTTGTATATTCTATGTTAAAATTATTGGGAAGGATTGTCTTCTGAAAATGTTAGCATTATAGTGCACAAGGTTGGTGAGGGCCAAAATGCTTATATTTTGAAGACATTTTCAAATTAGGACTATTGGTACATGGGTGTAGTTTATTCAAGACTGTTATGTATGTAGTAGACAAATTGAGTTCTTAATTGAAAAATTTAGTCTGCATAGAAGTGACTATTGTATGCTAAATGTAGAGGTAGTAAAATATTACTTCATAAGGCTGATGTTCTCTCTGATATGCAGGTGCTTACACACAATAAGGTAGGCAAAAATAGAAGTTCATTTTGGATTAGATAAAAGGAAATGAAGGGAAGAGAGTGGGATGGGAATAAGAAAGTAGAGTGAATCAGAAATAACTTTTCTATATTCATATATTAATATACAACCAGTGTAACTCCACATTTCATACAACCACAAGAATGGAAAGTTATATTCCATGTATGTAAAATATGTCAAAATACATATATATATACTATGGTATATCTAAAAAGAACAAATAAAAATCTTAAAAAATAAAAATAATAAATCTGAAAGAAATTCAACTGAATGTAATCTATAGGGAACTCTAATTCTAAGAAAAGAAGTAGATGAAAGCAAAAGAATATGAGTGTTACATACAAAAGTGACCAAAAAAAAAAAAAAAAAAAAAGCTGGGGTTGCCAAATTATGATACAGAAACCATTTAAAACAAGAAGTTATATGGCATAAAATATACTTTAAATTAAAAAAAAATTAAAAAGAGGCAAAGTAGATTATACAAAGATACATAAAAAGGTAAGATTGGAAAAAGTAAATACAGAAATATGAAGTAATACTATAATACTAGGAGATACCAATCTCCATTTACTGTAAAAAAAAAAGTCAAACAAAATGGTAATCACAAAACAAAAACTTTGAAAAATACTTTAAATGAATTTGACATATACTAAATGTTCTCAATAGCAAATGGAATATTAAACTGGATTGACCCTGGTAAGGAATAAAACAAAGGTTAATAGGTATAAAAATAGTAAAATCATTTTGTAAATATCATAGCATAAAGTTAGAAATCAAAAGTGGAAGGGATGTTCAAAAATCCAGAAATAAGGGCTGGGATTATGGCTCAGTGGTAGAGCACTCGCCTAGCATGGGCAGAACCCAGGTCAATCCTCAGCACCACATAAAAATAAAGGCATTGTGTTGTCCATCTACACCTAAAAAATAAATATTAAAAAAATCCAGAAATACGTGGCAATTGGTTGAACAATCTTGAACATGGTCTTGTTCCATAATTGAAAGTTAAAATTAAGAGACCTTTGTATGCCTCAGTTAGCTGGAGACTCCATCTAAATATGTATCAAACTCCCACTTCTTTTTTTGCAAACAAAAAAACATTCCAGAAATTTTATGGAATCTCAAAATTGTATGAAAGCCCCCAGAATTTAAAAATATAAACAAAATTGGGAGAATGCTGTGTCATGATTTAAAAACATTAAAAGCTACAATATTCAATGGGTAGTACTGACATCAAGTTAAACAGATAGGCATTTTAAATTGGGAGTGTAATAATCTCTTGCATATGTAGCAAATTAAGACATTTGCATGCCATTGTTTGTTACAGTATTATCTAAAAGAGCTACCATGAGAAAGCAAAACAAATATTCCTTGAAATAAGTGGATGAGGCAATTTGTAATATAGAAACTACAGAATATTTTTCATGTTAAAAAATCCATAAATTTCTGTAAAATCTACAATCAGGATAAATCTTCAGTATATTAGGTTAACTGAAATAGGTCCCTAACAAAAAGAAAAATATGGCAGAATTCTACTTATATAAGATGCCTAAAACAAAACAAAACAAAACACAAACAAACATACAAACAAAACTTTCTGAACAGAAATGAGAATGGCATTACTGAGGGGAGAGGACAGAAATGAGCCTTTGTTTACATAAGAATTTATTTATTGATTTTTGAGATGTAAACTTTTTATAGCTATATTACATAACAATTTGAATTAACATTACTGAACAATATATTTGATATGGTGAACAGTAAGTTTTGTTTTGTGGTTTTAATTACAATTAAAATTTCAAATAACACATAAAATATAAAAATAATTGCAAAATATTTTAAAGCTACCTTTGAAATCTCTTTACCCAATACATAAGAAAAAAACTCATAAGTATATAAATAAAGTGCATGCATGTAATCCAGGTACTAGGAATTCTGAGGCAGAAAGATTGCAATTTCAAAGCCATCCTCAGTAACTTAATGAGAACCTTCCTCCAAACATAAGTAGAAAGGGACTGGGGCATATAGCTCATTATTAGAGCACGCCTGGTTTTATCCCTGCTACATTAACATATAGAAAATTTACATTACTCTGTTCATAGGCAGGATAATAAACTAATCCAGATAAAATATAAATGTCATTAAAAGGGTATAATATTTATGCAAGCAAGTAAAAGCACATGTAATTTTATTAGAAACAGAAACAAGGATCATGCATATCTTAATTTAAACTTACATTGTCCTAATTTGTGAAATAATGGAAATTGCCATCTAATCATAAAATATGGATAAAAATAAAACAGTACTAAATTATGTGAGAAAACCTACTCCACAACATAAGACCTATTCAATAAAATGGAAGAAAAAGAAAATTTAACAAACAAAATTGTATATATCCACAGATTTACTATTTTACAAACCTTTTTATGTAACTACAATTGGCAACTGTGACTATAGATCCCAAAAGAGCATTCATTATAAACCCTGATTTTCACTTTACAGAAAATCCATTACAAGTATTTATAAAGAGCTCTGATAAGGAAATTTTAATGAATAAATATATGAATAATATTGGAGAGATTGCTTTATAATATTAATTTGCCGCAGTCTGGCTGGGCACAAATCATGAGCCACTGAAGCAGGAACAAACTTTATTTCTGAACTCCACTAGCACACTCCACACACGCTCCCCGGGAACTCTCCCAAATGCCAAGCAGCTCCTCCAGGAACCACCAACCGGAAATCCCTCCTCCTGCACTTCCCCAACCAATGGGAACTCTCCGGGAATCCCCACGAGAACTCGTAGCACGAGAACTCCAAAGTAGCAGGCAGAGGCAGACAGTAAAGGTCTAATATACAACCGAATCAATCCAGCATCATCTTAATGGCTTGCCTCTCAACCAATACTATTGGCAAAATGCCAGGGGCCATTCCGACTGAGCTGTGGCTCTCAGCATTAATTTATTACAATGGTTTGACCTAGAATTCTCCAAAAACATACATCAATTTCCTAAAGGCCCACAAATAATATCATGCTGACCCTCATAAGCTAAGGGGGGTTTTGGTGGTTAATTTGAATATACTGGTACATCACTGGAGAAAAAAGGAGACTTTAAAGAATTTGAAAGCATGATAAACATAGGGCATATGTGTTCAATGACAACAAGAGAAATAAACCTAAGCTTCTAAAAAATATTTTCTGGTGGATAACTTCTCCATCAACACTTTGAAGTTTGACGTCCTCCTTGACATTTGGGGCTCTCAATGTGTCCAATGCTATGTGTAGGCCACAATATTTTACATCACTGAATTCCTCTAAGTACCACTTATGTAATAGTGAAGAATATATAACTAACTAATATATAACTAACCAAGAAAGGAAGAGATTAAAGACTCAAAGGAATATTATTAACATTTATCTGTACCAAACAATGCCTTTTTCTTGAAAGCACAAATCTAAAACTTATTCTTGCAGAGAACTTTCCAGAAATATCTTCAAGGGAAGAAAATTTAAAAACAATAATTAAAAATTAGTTATACTTACCCAAGAACACCATGTTTCTGTAGGTCTCTAACATTACATCACTATATAATTTTTGCTGAGCAGGCTGCAGGCATTCCCACTCCTCTTCAGTGAAATCAATGGCCACATCCCTGAATGTCAACAGTTCCTGAAGTAAGAATAGGTAAATAAATAGCACCTTGACCATATGATAATTCAGAGTTTGTAATCTAACTAAAGTTGAGCTGAGGGCTGGGGATGTGGCTCAAGCATAGTGCGCTCTCCTGATATGCGTGTGGCCTGGGTTCAATCCTCAGCACCACATACAAAAAGAACCAAAGATGTTGTGTCCGCCGAAAACTAAAAAATAAATATTAAAATTCTCTCCCTCTCTCATCTCACTCTCTCTCTTAAAAAACAAAATAAAGTTGAGCTGAGAGTTTGTAAAAGGATTTTCATGTAAGTGATGACTTTAATTATTTATAAAGATACTTTCAAACACAGTGTTACCATTATCTACCTCTGAAGAAAAAGTGACATAAGTCCAAAAAGAGTGTATATACTCCACATTTATGAAATAAAATATAAAATTCAGGCATCAACACAAGACTATACATTTGTTATTTTTATAACATAATCTAAATTATATATATCTCTCATATGAGAAAGTCATGATGACTAAGAAAGGGAATTCTCAAATTTTAATTGCACAATCATGAATCAGAGATTTACTAAAATGCAGAATGTGATTCAATAAATAGTTCTGGGATGGAGCTGGGTTTTTCTGAGTATGTATCAAGCTCTCTAGTGAATCCAATACTGGTGGTATGAGAGAAACTTTTGAAATGAAATGAGGTAGACAACTAAAGGAAATATTTACTAGTAAATTTGAGTTCAAATGTTTTATGGTATTTATGTATATTATTAAAATAACAAATAGCAACAACAATCCTAATCCTGCTTGAATATTTTTGTTTTTTAAATTTAAACTTATTTTTAATAATTAAAATAAAAATTGTACACACTTATGCAATAAATATTTTGATACATGTATATATTATATAATGTTTCTAACAGGATAAACTTATCTTGCTCTTCAAACAATTTCATATTTTATTTAATTTTATTGGTTCTTCTTAGTTCTATATGACAGTAGAATCCATTGTGATGAAATTATACAAGCATGGGATATATTGTATTCTACTTAGGATCCTATTCTTGTGGGTGGGCATGATGAGGGGATTCACTTATTTTTATGTGTTCATAGGAAAATTATGTTAGATTTATTCTACTGTCTTTCCTATTCCTATTCCCATCCCTTCTTTTTGATCACCATTATCTAATATACTGAACTTCTCTTCTTATCCTCCAACACTTTACATGGTTTAGCTTTCACTTAGCAAAAAAATTAGAATTTCTGTTTTGGGGAAATTTGTTTATTTGACTTAGCATAATATTTTCCAGATCCTTCCATTTACAGGCAAAAGTCATAAAGTCATTCTTATTTATGGCTAAATAACATTCCATTGTGTTCCCCTAAGCAACAATTACTTTATCCATTCATCTGTTGAAGGATGCCTAAGTTAGTTTCATAGCTTAGCTATTGTAAATGAGCTGCTATAAACATTAATGTAGCTGTGTCACTGTGGTATGCTGATTTTAAGTCCTTTGGATAAATACTGAGGAGTGGGATAACTGGGTTAAATGGTGGTTCCATTCCTTCAGGAATCTCCATACTGCTTTCCAGAGAGGTTACAACAATCTACAATCCCACCAACAGTATATGAGCAGTCCATTTTACCCACATCCTCTTTAGCATTTGTTACTTGTATTCTTGACACTTGACACTCTGACTGGAGTGAGATGGAATCTCAGTGTCATTTTAATTTGTATTTCTCTAATATCTGGAAATGTTAAACTTTTTTTCACATATTTATTGATTATTCATATTTATTCTTTTGATAAGGGTGTATTCAGTTCCTTTGCCCCTTTACTGATTGTTTTTTTTCACGTGTGTGTGTGTGTGTGTGTATTAAGCCTTTTGAGTTCTTTGTATATCCTAGAAATTAACAACATATACAGGTGGCAAAGATTTGCTCTCATTCTATAGGTTCTATCTTCACACTATTTTTCTTTTGCTGTGAAGGAGCTATTTAGTTTGATGCCATATTATTTATTTATTTATTTATTTGTTTATTTATTCATTCATTCATTCATTCATTCATTCATTTTAGAGTCTTATTCAGGAAGTCAGTTCCTGTGCCAATGGGTTGGAGTGCTGGGCCTATGTTTTCTTCTAGTACATTCTGGTATGATTTCTAGGTTTTTGGTCCACTTAGAGTTGATTTTTGTGCAGGGTGAGAAATACAAATTAACTTTCATTCTACTACATATGGACTTAAGTTTTCCCAGCACCATTTGTTGAAGAGGTAATCTTTCCTCCAGTGTGCATTTTTAGCATCTTTGTCTAATATGAGGTAACTGTATTTATGTGGTGTTGTCTTGGTTTCTTCTATTCTGTTCCATTGGCTTTCTTGTGTACTTTTGTGCAATATCATGATTTTTTTTGTTACTGTAGGTCTGAATTATAATTTATGGCCTGATATTATAATGTTTCAGGCTTTGTACTCCTCACTAAGGATTGCTTTAGCTATTCTGGGCCTCTTATTTTTCCAAATAAATTTCATGGCTGCTTTTTTTCTATTTCTATGAAGAGATCATAGGAATTTTAATGGGGATTTCCTTGAATCTGCATAGCACTTTTGGTAGTATGGCCATTATGACAATATTGATTCTCACCATCCAAGAACATGGGAGGAGGTTTAATCTAAATATTATACTGTGTACTGTAAACAAAAAAGTATTAAAATATACAAAACCTAAAACTGAACAAACAAAAAATATCAAGGCTATGAAAAATTGAATATTCCATACATCTTTGAGAAAATGCAAAAGGGTGCAAGTACTGTGGAAAGCACCTTCATGTATTTTAAATGATAAATATGTAAATAATAATAAAAAATAACTAACACAGAATTACATAATGAACAGAATTGATCCCAGACATGTACAAAAATAACTAAAAATGTACTTAGAAAACAATTTGCATATGAATATTTATAGTTGAATTATTCAAAATAACCAAAGTTGCAAACAACCCATATATCTAATAGAAGATTAACTGATAACTGCCAGGCATAGTGGTGCAACCTAGAATCCCAGGAACTCTAGAGGATAGGTAGGGAAACCTCAAGTTTGAGCAAGTTTATGGAATCCCTGCTTCAAAAAGAAAAAAGTCTGTGAGTGTTGCTCAGTGGTAGAGTATACCTGGATTTATCCACAGTACTGCAGATGTCATAATAATAACCATGACAGCTCACTAAAATTTGGTATGTTCACACAGTAGAATTGTATTCATCAAGAGTTTAATTAGAATACTAAAATATGCAACACATTTGGCCTTGAAAGCATTATGTTAAGGGAAAGAAATTAGAAGAACTTGCCATACACTGCATATGTCAAATTATGTAAAATTTTTTAAGACAAAGCTAATGTATTGAAAAAAAAATGCATCTTAGTCATTCCAGGGCCTTAGGGAAGAAATTGGGAATGGGTGTTGGAAGGCACTGGTTCTTTTTTATATATAAATTGTCAGAAACTTTATAGATGTAATTGTTTTACAACACTGTGAATATACTATCTAGTACTAAATTGTACTTTTAAAAATGATTGTAATGGTCAATTTAATTTTATGTATATTTTACCAGAATAAAAAAGAAATAAGTTTTTACAGTAGGCACAGAAGAATCAAGTCCACTGCCAGTAAAAAAGGGCAAACACAAACATAAGTGATATTTTTAAAATAAATAATCTTCTGGGATGGGGTTGTGGCTTAGCAGTAGAGCACTCGCCTAGCATGTGTGAAGCGCTGGGTTCAATCCTCAGCACCCCATATAAATAAGTAAATAAAATAAAAGTATTTTGTCCAAATACAACTAAAAAAATTTTTTAAAAATAAATAATCTTCTTTTCCATAATAAGAAATATTTACATTAATATGCCATTTGATCCTTAGTGAAGTGTTATTATTTTCTACTTATGATTTATTTATATTTGTATTAAAAATGTCTAAATAGCCCTGAATACTGGATATCTGTCAAGTGTTTCTTATATATACATAACTCAATGTGATTAAAACTATATTTTGAGGAGAAGGGAGGGGCATAGGGTAGAAAAGATGATGGAATGAGATAGACATCATTACCCTAAGTACATGTATGAAGACACAAATGGTGTGACTATATTTTGTGTACAACCAGAGATATTCTATGTGTGTAATATGAAATATAATGTATTCTGATGTCATAAATAACAAATTAGAATAAAAAATAAATTTACAAAACCAATATGTTGATACACTCACTTTTATATATATAGTAGCACAATTCACCATAGCCATTTTATGAAAACAGTTCAGATGCCCATCAATAGATGAATGGATTAAGAAAATGTCACACACACACACACACACACACACACATATACATATACACATGATATTTATTCAGCCATAAAGAAGATTTAAATCATGAAAGTATGACATCTGCCAGTAAATGGATGGAAATGGAGAATGTAATGCTAAGTGAAATAAATCAAACTCAGAAAAATCAAGAATCAAATGTTTTCTCTCATATGTGGCAGCTACAACAAAATAAGGGGAAAGTGGAGGTTTAGATTTTATAAAGATATGGGAAGATTAGAAAGACAGTGAGAGGGAGAAGGGACAGGAAAGGAGAAGAATTTTAACAAAACAATATTATGTGCATATATAAACTTAACACCATAAATTACACCTTTATGTATATGTAGAGAGCACCAATTGATAATAAATAAATATGTGAAAGGATAATTAGTAGAGGAAGGAGAATATTGGGAGGGAGGATGGAGATAAAAGAAGGTAATGAGAATTGAAAGGAGCAAATCAAGTTGAACCATGTATTATTTTTTCAAAATAAACCTAATTAATACATATAACTATAATGCTGTAATAAAAAATTCTTTAAATTTTTTTTTTGTAGTGGTGGGAATTAAACCTGGATTCCTGCACAAGCAAGGCAACTTCTGTACCACTGAGACACATCTCCAGCACAAAGGTGTATTTCTAATCTT